TATATATATATATATATATATATATATATATATATATATATATATATATATATATATATATATATATATATATATATATATATATATATATATATATATATATATATATATCAACGGAAACAGAGATTCAGCTGCAATAAGCAAGAAATCAGTACATCTCCTATGTGTAATAAAGCAAGTTATATATCACCTTAGGTTGCAGACCTCCAAGTCCAAGCCCCAAAGGTGTGGACCTACCACTCCCACTAGCCTGGCTTGATGATGAATCATGTGAAGCTACACCAGACATCAGTGTTTTCTCTGCGAATTTCCCCAGTGTAGCTGAATTAGTGTCACTTCCACAGCTTGTGAGTCCTATCAAACCAGCAGTCGAAGATTCCTCCAAATTAGGACTTCTTTGATGGTCCCCAGTAGTAGAAAAACCATTCCCTTCTAGCTGAGGCTAGAAACAAAACAAGTACAGTGAATATCTCCTTCTGACGAATATTATACAATAAATGCCCATGGAACACTACCTGTTTCCCATCACCTCGCGTGGTGGTATCGGAAATTTGTGACTCAAACAATTTGTTGTTAGAATCAGGATCATTATCATCATGGGTACTCGCAAAATTGTCATCAGTATCGGTTGATAACGAACCTCCAAATTGAAAATAGACACAAAGGAGAACAATGAATTATAAGCACAGTATTCATGCACATGTAGAAAACACACTAAGCCTATGTATATATTTTACCTGCAGCAACTTGCTGCTGCCCTGCTGTGCTTGACGAGCTTTGGTTTGGGGAATTTCCAGAGATCACATTAGCAATTTGTTCATTTATTTGCCTAACAATTGCAGAAATAGAATCCATTCCTGAAGAGCCTTGTGGAAGTTGAACATTCATATCTGATTGTGACTCACTATTCATAGCTGGATGAGAACCTTGAGCTGCAGCAGACTGCTGACTTGTAAATGAAGAACTTTGACCCAGCGCATTGCCAGCAAATGCACCATCAATGTGCGCATTTACTTGTGCTACTATCGCAGGGATGCTACCTGATTCTGAAGGATGTGGAACAATGACTGATGTGTTAGGTTC